GAGCAGGTGTTGCATCAAAGAGCCTGATGGCCAAAGATAATCTTGGTGCTACAATTTTATACTTTTATGAGACTAAGTAGAAGCAGGTGGAAATATTGACTTTCTGCCTTCTTACCTCTGTGGTAAAATGGACCACAGAAGTGATGGTGGTAGTGTGGTGGTCTGTGTTGTATCTCTAGAGTTTTATTCACAACATCTAGGTTAGTGCTGCTGAGCAGGGCATATGTTCTTCATGTATACTAATAGAGGCATTGAACTTACATGAAATATTTAATCCTATCATTATCTTTTACTAACTACCAAGTACACCCTACTGAGTACTTGAGAACATCTTTTATGAGTTTATTATCTCATTAGATGAATAATCTTAAAAAACAAAATACTCCAATCTTCTAAGTAGTCTCCAAATATTTTTAATCATAAAGCTTACCAATAAATTTTGAACACATGTCACCCAGTGTATGTATATTTATTAATTATAAATTATATATACTCATATCATTAGTGGTTCAGAGGACCGGCTATGGATCTAAACTGCCTAGACATCAATTTCAGGTCTGTTATTTCCCAGCTGTCACTCTGAGTGAGATATTTAACAAATCTCTTTCTCAGTTTGCTCATTTTAAAAGGATAGAAATAATCCTAGGTACCAGATATAGTTGTATATCTTCAAGTTCATACTGTTGTTATCAGTACTATCATAGTACTATTTTACTGCCATACTCAGTATATTATCAAACAAAATGGAAGAAAAGCAATGATGAGTTTTAGAAAATATGTAAATATAACTTCTAATATGTTTTTATATTAGGACAACCATGGGTTATTTTTTAATAAAGAAGAATACAAAATATTTTATAATACCGCCTATTCATCTATTTTGCAATGTTGAAATCGAAAACTAAAATGTAGATTTTCTAATGTTTTCTTCCCACACTCCACTGGGACATCTCATACTCACTATATTTTCTCATCACTTGCTGGAATACAGCTGCATGTTCTTATTGGTTCCAAAACATAAAGAACCATATTATTAATGATAAAGTAGTAAGGCTATGGTAGTAAACCTCTGACAATTTCTGATCTTTTTTTGCTGATGCTACCTAAAAGCTTATTGTAATGCCTGTTGTTAGTTCCAGGACCCTAGAAAACTCAGATTGTAGTTCTCTACTGACCTGTCCCTAGTAAATGAGTCACAGTAGTTTTCTGAGTTTATTCCAACTCTGCAATGGCCAAAACTCAGAGGGGAGGCTCTTTTCTGAATTTCCTATTTAGAGCCTCTATACATAGTTTCCTAATCTGGCCCTAGGTGGGACAATTTCCAGTCTAGTGTTTCCAAGCAGAAGGTCATGCCAGTGAAGAGATTGGCTAGACATCATAATGCTGATACTCTGTGGCGCTTCTTTTCTCTATGTTTTATCAGAAGATGAAATAGCTAAGAATTTAGTAAGATTTGACTCTGCTGGTCCTTATATATCCTCAATTTAGCCCAATATAGTGAGGAATTTATTGAAATGTCATTCACTCATTATGCATAAAGCAAGGCTAATTATTAAGACAATGGTAACAAAAAAAATTATAGTCTCTTATATCTTGGTGTCTAAGTTGTTTATCACTCATTTGTATTTCAATCATCTTCTAGAGCAGGTGAGAAAGAATAGAATTATTGTGCATGCCCCAGGGTGGCAAGTGAATCTTGTGACCTGTTCATACTTCTTTGTGTGCCTTGGTGGGGAAACACACGTGTGCATGCAAACACACATTTGTGCATCTTAGGTGTTATACTTGGTTTAAAAGGAACCATGATTTTGAATTATATTTTCTTGGCTCCTAAAAAATGTTTTTCTAAGTTGAATTATAAAACCTGTTATAATTTTTTATTAGAACCTATGCTGGAGCAACCCTGCACCATCTGTGTCTCTGGTATGTTTACTATCTTTGATAATGAGAATGTGGGTGCCAACAGCATTTCTTTTTGTGCCTGGCTGCCAGAAGTCTTGGAACAAATTTAAGCTCAGCCAAGACAAATGATAGAACTGCATGGCCTCCCTCTGCTGTGACTAGCCTTCATCTACCTTCATGTCCTATTCACAAGACATATGTTTTCCATAGACCTCACGTGTTTTATTTATATTAAAGATTTAATGCTTTTAGTGTTAAAATTGTTTCAAATCCCTTTTAGCAGAGGTAAGGAATAAATATTTTTATATTCTGTAAACCTTAAGAAAAGTCTCTAGAAAAATTAAAAAGAAGATAGCTGGATGTTATTACTTGAATGAAAGGAGGTAGGGAAGGGTTAAAATAAATTGTCAATAAGTTTTCAGAAATATTGACTCACAAGCCTAATGTATGAATGAACCTTGCAAATTTAGCCACTTGCCAAAATTTTGTAAAGTGACTCATTGAAATTTCAGATAAAATTTAACTGTGTAACATTAGGTCCTGTCTATTTGCTTCATGAACGTACATTCACGTTTCTTAAAAGGAAAAAAAGACAGTGTTTGCATTAAATACAGCACTGAGGTTGTCCTTTGTAAATCTAGCTCAATTTAAGGTGGATTCTTGAGAAAAACATCCAGGAACAGCTCTAGAAGCAATAGACTGGATGATGGATCTAAATCAGGTCCAGTTTTTATGGGTTATAAAAACCTGGAGCACTGGAGCTCCATATTTTTTTATCCAAAAAGTAAATTAAGAATTATGATATGGACTCAAGCTTCTAAACAGGTGATAGAACTCAAATAAAATGTATATCTATGAAAATTAAATTATTTTTTGGTATTACTTTAATTAACAAGAAGACACTCTGGATGTCTCAGGCCACCCTGAGAAACCCCTTTCTAATCGTTTCAGCTCAGATACACCTTTAGGTTATCAGTTAGAATCTCATATTGTGATTTTCATTTTATATAATTTCTATCTATTGTATATTTTCAACCTATTTGATGGATGATGTTACCTCGTCTCGAAGAAATTAATCACTGCGTAGATATTTATTCAATGATTGAATGTAAATGAAAGCTACTGTAGAAACATGACTAGCTCTTAAAGAAGCCTATCCTTTACTTCACAGGAGTTAAATTGAAAAAACAAATACACTTGAAATAAAATTCACTCTGGTAAAGTACTCTGTCTTTCACAGGTCTTCTGATGGTTTAACATCCATAGAATTGTTCTTGTTTTATACAATTTTGTAATTTAGACATATAAATTAATCCAGTAGCTGATTCTTTGATCAAGGACAGAACCCCAGGATTCTGGCCCAGACTCTGAGGGAGACGATGGGTGAGCAACAGACAAGGGGGCATTTTGGCAGTTGGCTACAGCCTTGCTACAAGCCCATGGCATTATAGCACCCAGAGTTGCGATGTCCCGGTCACTGAAGCAATGATGGGCCTCCTCCTGTTGACTTCTCCCCAGCAAACTCAATCCCCTTGCCTCACAAGAGCATCAGAAATATCCTCTGTTCCTTCCCGCTTTGGATTCCTGTAAAAGACAGGCAAAGTCCAGTGGTACAGAGGTTCTGAGCCAAGAGGGGAGGCAGGCTCTTCTACAGGTCTTTTGTGAACCTGCTGAGCATCTTTTGTCAATATATAGTTATAGTATACATATAGCTAGAAATTGGGGGAGGAAGGACTTTGAAACATGCCTTCTAGGTCTGAGGCCATTGCTCTTTGCTTTCAGTAGCACAGTTATGGATTTGCATAGGTACAGAGATATGGTGGGATAAAGAAGTGTGTTGGACTGAAAACTCAGTAATATAGAGTGAATACTATTGTATTAGACTGCTCAGGCTGCCATAACAAAATGCTACAAAATAGGTGACTTAAATGACAGAAATTTATTTTTGCACAGTTCTGGAGGCTAGAAGTCTGAGATCAAGGTGCTGGCAGAATCAGTTTCCAGTGAGAGCTCTTCCTGACTTGTAGACGGTGCCTTCTCACTGTGTCCTGTATGGCCTTTATTCTTTGTGAGCATGGAGAGAGAGAGAGAGATTGGGGGGGGGGG